TCCCATAGGAGCAAACCAGAAGCCCACCCACTTCCTCTGAGACCCTCGCCCCTCTTGCTCTGTTCTCAAGGGGCTCCCAAAAGGCCAGCTACCCAGCTCTTCTGTGTCAGGCAGGTCAGAGGCTTAGCTCTCTCTTGGTCTCGTGTTTCTCCCTGGTATGTCTTCTCCCAGGCGTGAATACAAAATTCTTTCTCTCCACCACCTGCTACTTCGGTCTTATTATATCATTTAGCTGCTACACACTTCTTGGTTACTGTGTTCTGAGGACTTAAAAGTCGGCCCCCTCCCACCCGGTCACTCTGATCCTGTGAAAAGACCATGGGTTCCGAAGCCAGCAGGAGGCGGGTTTAATCCGAGCTCCACCACTGACCAGTTGTGTTGACCTTGGGAGAGTCAGTTAGCCTCCCTGAGCCCTGCATTTTATTTCTGCCTGAAATTACAGAGACAATCTTATTTGCTTTAGCAGTAGGACTCCCCGCTGGAAGGAAACTGGGGTTTTTTGGGGGGAGGGTAAAAACTTGATTCTTTTTCTTTGCTTAATCCCTTCACCTTTTTCACCCAGTCCCTCTACTACCCGTCCCTCTGACAATTATCAGTCTGTTCTCTGTATCTATGAATCTGTTTCTATTTTGTTAGCTTGCTTTGTTCGTTAGATTTGACATATGAATGGAATCAGATAGTTTCTTCTTTCTCTGACTGGCTTCCTTTACTTAGCATAGCACTCTCCAGGTCCAACCATGCTGTCGAAAAATGTAAAATTTCCTTCTTTTATTACAGCCGAGTAGTATTCCATTGTGTAAGCGTACCACAGCTATTTTATCTGCTCATCTATGGATGGGCACTTGGGCTGCTTCTAATTCTTGGCTATTGCAAATGCTGCAATGAACACAACGGTACATATATTCTTTCAAATTAGTGTTTCAGGTTTCTTTGGATATATTCCCAGAAGTGGAATCACTGGGTCGTAAGGCAGTTCCATTTTTAATTTTTTGAGATATCTCTATACTGCTTTCCACAGTGGCTGCACCAATCTGCATTCCCGCCAACAGTGCAAAAGGGTTCCCTTTTCTCCACATCCTTGCCAGCTCTTGTTTGTTGATTTATTAATAGCCATTCTGACCGGTGTGAGGTAATATTTTGTTGTTCTAATTTGCATTTCTTTGATGGTTAGTGATGTTGAGCATCTTTTCATATGTCTATTGGCCATTTGTATGTACTCTTTGGAGAAGTGTCTATTCAGGTCCTTTGCCCATTTTTTAATTGGATTGTTTTTGTTTTGTTTTGGGTGTAGAGTTGTATAAGTTCTTTATAAATTTTGGATATTGGCCCCTCATCAGATATATCAGTGACAAATATGTTCTCCCATTCAGTGGGTTGTCTTTTCATTTTGTTCATGGTTGTTGTGCAAATACTTTTTAGTCTGATGTAGTTTCATTTGTTTATTTTTTCTTTTGTTTCCCTTGCCTGAGGAGATTTATCAGATAAAATATTGCTATGAGCAATGTCCAAGATTTTACTGTCTATGTTTTCTTCTAGGATTTTTATGGTTTCTGGTCTAACATTTAAGTCTAATCTATTTTGAGTTTGTTCTTGTGTATGGTGAAAAAGGTGGTCTAGTTTCTTTTTTTTGCATATATCTGTCCAATTTTCCCAACATCATTTATTGAATAGACTATCTTTACCCCATTGTATGTTCTTGCTTCCTTTTTCAAATATTAATTGACCATAGAGGCGTGGGTTTATTTCTGGGCTCTCCATTCTCTTCCATTGATCTAGATGTCTCTTTTATTCTAGTACCAGGCTGTTTTGATGGCTATGGCCTTGTAGTATAGTTTGATATCAGGTTGTGTGATTCCTTCGACTTTGTTCATCTTTCTCAAGATTGCTGTGGCTATTTCGGGTCTTTTGCACTTCCATATAAACTTTTGGGATATTTGTTCTAGTTTTGTGAAATACACCATTGGTATCTTGATAGGAATTGTGTGGAATCTATAGATTGCTTTGGGTAGTATGGACATTTTAATTATGTTAATTCTTCTTATCCATGAACATGGTGTATACATCCACTTATTTGTAGCTTCTTGCAGTTTCTTTCTTCAGTATATTATAATTTTCCAAGTACAGGTCTTTTACATCCTTGTTTAAATTTACTCTTAGGTATTTTATTTTATTTTTTATGCAACTGTAAATGGGATTGTTTTCTTAGTCTCCTTTTCTGATAGTTCATCACTGGTGTGTAAAAATGCAATTGATTTCTGTATATTTATTTTGTATCCTGCTACTTTACTGAAATCATTATCAGTTCTAGTAGTTTTTTTTTCCCTAGGAATCTTTAGGGTTCTCTACATATAATATCATGTCATGTGCAAACAATAACAGTTTTACTTCTTCCTTTCCAATTTGGATGCTTTTTATTTCTTTCTCTTGTTTGATCAGTGTAGCTAAGACTTACAGTACTATGTTGAATACGGGTGGGGAAAGTGGACAACCCTGTCTTGTTTCTGAATCTCAAGGGAATGCTTTTAGGTTTTGCCCATTGAGTACAATGTTGGCTATGGGTTTGTCATAGATGGCCTTTATTATATTGAGGTATGTTCCTTCTATTCCCACTTTGCTGAGAGTTTTTATCGTAAGTGGGTGCTAGATCTTATTAAATGCTTTTTCTGCATCTATTGATATGATCAAATGGTTTATATCCTTCATTGTTTTTATGTGGTGCATCAAATTTATTAATTTTCAGATATTGTACCAACCTTGCATTCCCAGAATAAATCCCACTTGATCATGGTGTATGATCCTTTTAATGTACTGCTGGATCTGGTTTGTTAATTTTTTTTTTTTTTGAGAATTTTAGCATCTATGTTCATCAGGGATATTGGCTTATAATTTTCTTTCTTTGCAGTGTCTTTATCTGGTTTTGGAATTAGGATAAAGCTGACCTTGTAAAATGAGCTTGAGAGTCCTCCCTCCTCTTGAATTTTTTGGAATAGTTTGAAAAGTAGAGGTCTTAGTTCTCTTTTGAATATTTGGTAAAATTCACCTGTGAAGAAATCTGATTCCAGGACTTTCGTTTATTGGGAGCTATTAGATTACTGCTTCAGTTTCATTAATTGTAATCAATTGAAAACTTGGGTAAGCCGTTTGAAGCAAGGAGAAGAGCTCCCTCCCCCCACAAGAGGCCTGCTTGAGGACCTGGAGATGGCTGCCTTGGGCCAACCACCAGCTTTCGTTTTGTGACTAGAGTAAGCTGGTTGAGGGAGAGGGCTGGGTGCCTGGGATATGAAGGAGGTTCTTGGATGTTTAGTGAAGGGAAAGAAAAGAAGAGATGAAGCCGCTGGCAAGACTGCAAAGTATCAAGACCCTCACCCAGCTCTCTAGTATCATCTCTCAACATTCCTATTCTCCCTACTTTGTGCCCTCCAGTCATTTTGAACAACTTGAAGTTTCCAGGACATGCCATCTCACTAGGCCTTTGTCCATGCTGTTCCCCTCACCTGGAATACCCTCCCCAAGTTGTCAATCAAGCAAACACTTCATTTTTTCTAGTCTCAGCTCAAATGGTGATTTTCCCTTGTCCCGCTCTACCCATTCCCACTGCCAGGGCAAACATGGCTGCTACTCCTGCAGGCCACACCTCGCTGGGTACACAGAGGTCAACCCATTGCACTGTGGTTATTTGATGAGTCTTTCTCTTTACAAGACTGCAAAGTTCAGGAGGGCAAGGACCAAGTTTTTTTTCCCCTTTGACTCTTCTGAACCTAGTCCAGTGCCAGGTGCCCAACCAGCCTTCAATAAATGACAGTTGAATAAATGAATGAAAGATGAAAAAAGAATAAAGAGGCTCTGTCTGGAATAGCTGCGAGTGAGGTAAGTGGGGGCCAAGATTGACACTGTGCTATGAGGGTCACTATGTTTTTCTTTTCTTTTCTTTTCTCTCTTCTTTTCTTTTCCCCCCACCATTACTATTATGGTTAGATTTCTCACATCCTGGGAATGACAGGTACACATGTTTTGATCTATGGAATGTGCTATAATTTCTCAAATGGAGGGCTCCCTCTATTATATATACACTTCTATTAAGGGGCCATTATTTCCCTTACTGAAGATTCAGCATTTCTGTTTCATTAAATAGAGAATTCTTTCTGTGCATGAAGAACAGGATTGGATTTATAGAAATTCCATTTACACTGGGCTTGTCAGGAATAGATGTCTTACACAGTCAAGCCACTAGTCTACTGTCAGGCCGTTTGAAGTCAGAGCTCATAGGCTCCTTATTCCCTTCTGACACACTCCCCCTTAACCCCCTTATGACCTGGATCTGCGGAAACTACTCTGGGCACCTGACCACCTATTCCAATGGTTTTCTCTTGGAGTCCGCCATCTCTACTTCCCTGAGTTATATGCCACTGACCATCCTATTCTTCCTAAAACCCCCCAAATCCTTGGCTCTGTGGCATTTGCCCACTATCTCTGCCTACCTCGCACCTGCCCCGAGCATCCAAATGAGTTTGTTGGTCCAGCTTCCTGCTGAGCATTGCCATGTGGCTGTCTCAAAGGCAGAGAGTCACCAGTAGCTGCCCACGCTCACAGCCACCTCCCTCTCCTTCGTGCCACACGTCCCCTCCACCGCCAGGCTGTAGGACATTCACCTCCTGAATGTATCTCAGGTTTATCCACCTCTCTCTGACACACACAGTAAGCTCCATGAGCCCTGGAACTGTCTGTTTCAGTTCATTACTATAACCCAGAGCTTATCAGCACAGTGCCTGGCATATGATAGACACTCGATAAGCACATTCTGAATGAGTGAATAAGTGAGTAAACAATCCCATTTTACAAGTTGTAACACTGAGGCTCCGAGAAGAGGGGTGATTGGTCCGAGGTCATCCAGCTCAAACAACCAGGACTTAGCCCAAGGCTGACTCCAGTGCCCACTTTCTCGCTTCTCTCTCTTTTTTTTTATGGCATGTCTTTGCTCCTACCTGAGGCCTCTGCCTTACCTGAGAGCACCGTGAAGACGGCCGCGAAGGCATTGAGCTTGAGCCCATCAATGACATTGCTGGAGTGGAAGAGCTCGAGACACATGAGGCTGAAGCCAACCACCAGCAGGAGGATGTAGAGCACCTCGGAGACCACCGACAGCCACAGGACCCCTGCACAACAGAGGCAGAAGCTGGTCAGGTGAGGACACACAGAGTGGATGCTCCTGTGCACATTTCACCTCACATGCTTTGGTCAGGGGATCAAGTAGTCTTATAATAGATCTCCGCGGCAGGGTGGGTCCTGATTAGGGGAAAACCATCAGGGCCACACATCCTCCCAACAGGACTGGCTCAGGAGTCCAAGCCTAAGTCAGTCGGCCCGTGGCACTCTGGAGGTGATGGTTGCCTGTCCAGGGTGGCATGTGACCAATAAGCAGGTACATTCAGATGGGAGGGAAGAACCTCTATCCCATGGCTATGCAAGAGCCCCTCTTTCTCTTCTCATCTGTCAGATGACTGGCACTGGGAGCCATCTATGGCCAGGAGGGCACCTGCCTTAGGATAAAGCTGATAGTGTAGTTACTGAGCAGAGCAAGGAACAGGTGACCTCATGGAACCAGCAATCACCAGCCTTAGGGTTTTCCTATGGTTAAGCCAGTCAATGTGATGTTCTGTTACCTGCAGTTGTTAAGCATCCCAACTCATGCACACATCATGTTTGCCCTCAAGGGACACCTATATGTTTATCTACCTTATACTCCACTATTTTTTCTATAAACCACTACTACTACTCCCACACCTTCAACCTCCTCTTTCTCCTAGGAGCTGTCATGTTTTTCTGTGGTCCCACCCTTCAGGACACAACTGATCGGCCCAATATGATCATGTGACCTAGAATTGTCCAATCAAAGCCCTTCTCTAGGAATCTAAGTGTGGAAACACTGAAGTAGACAGGAGGAAAATCCCTGGTGAGAGTCCAAGCACACTGACAGTGTGAGTACCTGGCTCCAGCTGTTCCTGTAAGCCAGACACACTCCTGTTCTTCCAGTGATTTGGCTGTTCAAATCTACTTTGTAGTCCCTGTGATAGCACAGCTCTCTTTTCCCCTAAATTGGTCCAAATGGGATTACCATCATTTGTTATTTGGTTTAGGGGTTATCTTCTGTTTCTCCCAGTCCACATTATTACCCCCTTGTTCCTACAGGCTTTTCATTTGGAGGGTCCCTTCCCTGTCTCAGGCTGTGCGACTCAGTTGCAGCTGACCCACATCCTGGCTCCACGTTTGAGCACATGACTCATATCTGGCCAGTCAGAGCTCCAAGTGCCCCTGACTCTAGTGACTGGTTCAGAAATGAACCTCTCTATATCTCAGTTGCTTCACCTATAAAATGAGGATAATAATACCACCTGTTCATAGTAGTGTTGTGCTATAAGGATTCAGTTACACAGCAGTGTGAAGAGCTTGTGCTTAGCACAAAGAGCTCAGTTCATGTGTACTATTACAGTTGCGTGGGACGGACATGGTGGAGACTGGAAATAGAGCCCCGGGGCTCTTGCATGAGGTCAAGGTTATAGACAGTGTCAAGATGGAGAAATAAAATTGTGGCAACAGATGTGTGAGAAAAGGGTGGAAAGGTGAAGATGGAACACAGCCATGGGACTTACCTTCCAAGCCTCACCAACCATATGGTTTGAGCAATAACCATATGGTTTGAGCAATGCCCATACTTCAGAGAAAGAATTATGGACCAGGCTTGCCCAGCCAGAGGTAGATACACGGCCCCAGTCAGTTCAACAAAAGTCAGCCACAGGACTTCTGCTGGGACCGTTGGGAAAGAAAATTCCTTTCTTTCCACTGGTTTTGAGGCTGGAAAGAAGTAAGGACAGAATTGACTGGGTCACCAAGTGGCAGATGTCAAGGAAGGCAGAGCCAAGAGATGGAGGAAGATTGTGTCCTGTAACATGTTTGAGCCTCTAGATCCAGCCATGCCTGAAGCTGCCCATCTTTGGTTCTTTCAGTCACATGAACCAATTAATATCTTGTCTTTGCCTAAGCCAGTTTGAGGTAGAATTTCTATCAATTACAACTGAAAGTCCTGATCTTCAGCTTTGGGGTTCTCTAAAACTGTCCAATGTGTTCTTACCTAACCCTCTGCCTTTTCACAAGTTGTCCCTTTTGCCTGCAATATCCTAGAGACATCCAACTTAAACTATTTAATGAGTTTACAAACTATTTAATGAAGTAAACAAACAGCCATTTCAGAGTCCCTATCTGCTCTCTGAGGAAGAGTGCAAGTCCTCAAACACCAACTATCATTCCTAGCACAACGGGGGCTTCTAGAGCTTGGGAGAACTTTTAGTTTTTATTCTTTTTTCTTTCTTAACTACAAAAATATCGCATCTCCTGAGCAAACCATTGGACTTCTGTAAGGGAATAACGTGCTCTTGGCAGCCTGGATGTTGTTAAAACATGGCACACATGCAGCTCCCAGGCCCTTCCCTGGCCCGAGGCCCACCAGGCAGCAGGGAGGAGGCAGGAGGTGGAGGGCAGGCAGGGCCACGTCTCCCCTCCACCACCCACGCCACCGGGCCGTCTGCCAGTCCAGTGGCTACACCGGTCCAGTGGCTACAGCCCCGGTGGGCGGAGGCTGCCCCTCACCGTGGTGACTCCCTGACTCAGCTGCCTCCCCTGCACCGCCCCCACATCCCCAGGAGGTGCTGCCCAGGTCACACCTCCACACCCCACCACCTCCCCTCACAGCAGGGCCTGGCCATGCTCTTTCGGACAGGATGGGGGATGGGAAGGTTGCTGGGATGGTTGTGGGGGGCGGGATGCTGGGAAGTCAACCACAGAGAAGCAGGCACCAGATTCTCAGATACTTGGCTGGGGTTATGCTTCTTACTCCACTAGATTTCTTTCCCTGTCTGTCCACTGCGCTCAGAGCATCTGACGCTTCAGCCCACCCAAGTCAAGAAAATTAATAACAATAAGAATTGTTGTTTTTGTTGTTATGCTAATAGTGACAACAATAATCACAAAAAGAGCCGACAGTACTAGGTGGTCATCATATTCCAAGTCGTGCTGGACCATAGCCAGCCCGCTTGCACCTCTGTTTAGTGTTTCTCTCCTTGGAGCATTGTCCTTGGGCAACTGGAGTCCGTTTTGCCATCTTCACGCAGCAGGTGCCTGCAAGCTTGTCTTTCCCTTTGTGCTGTCATCCACAGCAGCACACCAGGGGCCCTTTCTGGGGCTCTGGCTGTGACAACCCTGCGATGTGACCCACACTGCAGAAACCCCCCGCTAACCCTCTGGGGTTCAAAACTAAAGTTGTCTCCCTGGGCTTCCTTCCCTGTCCTGCCTTCCAACTGCCTTACCACTCTTCCCCGGGGTATTTCCTTCATGAAAGACCTGCCCGAATCCTCCTCTCAGGGTTTACTTCCAGGGAATCAGACCTCGGGCGCTAATATTCACAAGCGTTATCTTCCCAGTCCTTCTAACAACCTTGCAAGGTAGCGACGTAGCATGCATTTTACAGATGAGCAAATTTAGGTTCAGAGGGATTAAACATCTGGTCTACACAGCTAGAGAGTGTAGACTGGATTCAAACCCAGACCTTTCTGACTCCAAGAACCACCTCAGGGAGAGAAGGAAGCTGGCAGGATGGAGTGGCCACTTTGTAAACAGCATTCTCCATGCGTGGGCTGGTCTCCGGGCCTGGCTCGGGGTGGGGCGTGCTGTTCCCCAGCCAGGGCTCTCATCTGTATGCTGTCCAGCTCTCCGAACAAACTGCTGAACCAGGGTTTCTGCAAGAGGATGGCCACTGGGTGGCAAAGGGGGGAATGGGCTTCAGTTCTCAGTAATCCCGAGCCCAGCTGGCCACCAGGTGTCGTAGGGAAGGAGGCCACAGGGAAGAGCAGGTGGGTCTTGAGGACGGGGAAAGCCGGGCTGGGGAGGTGGGCTGGACACATGCTGCAGAGACAGGTGCCGTCCGGAAGGTCTCAGCAAAGGAGGCTTGTGCTGGGGTTTGCTCTGGAAGGGTGCGTGGGCTGGAAGATCAGGTAGAGGCTTCCACTACACTCCATGTGAAAGACAACGGTGGCCAGGGTCGTAGCAACGACAGGAGTGAGGACAAGTGGGGAACTCGATAACTCCCAAAGGGTGAGCTCAGTGGGCTGCTGACCCACAAATGTGGTGGCAGAGGAGAGAGAGGAGTCCAGAGAGTGGCCATGTTTCCAGCATGGGCAACCGAGCAGATGGTTATGTTCTTCACTGAGAACGAGATGATGCTGAGGCATGAAGACGATGAGGCCACTTCTGGACACGCAGAGTCTACATCAGTGTCAGGATGTCCAGGAAGCAGCTGAAGCTCCGATGGAAGTGTGGGGAGCACTGGCAGGACACAGGCACTCACTAAATGTTTGCTGTGATTGTCCAGTAGATGGTAGCTGGAGGTATGGGAGTGGATGAGATGCCTGTGGAAAGCATGTGGAGCAAAAGCAGAAGGTGGGAGATGGGACCCACAGAACATCAATAGTCCAGGGGAAGGGGTTCTGAAAGGGTGGTGACCTTGTGGGTGTCCCCCCATCCCTGCCCACCGCACATTGTCCCCTGCCAGTACCTGCACCCCTCTGCCCGAGGGCTTGCCGGAGTCTCCAGAGCCTACCCCCCACCTCCACTCACCTTTGCCGCAGGCTGGGGATGGACACCTCCCTGCTCCCACGCCCAGCAGCAGCCCTCAGCCAATGCCTGAGGCAAGCCAGTGAGTAAGTATCCCCAGGTGGGCAACGCTGGGAGGAGGTGCTACCTGCTTGGTGTTAAGTGTGTTAAACCACACCATTAAATTGTCTGAATCAAAAAGTGAAAAAGCTATTCGCTTTTCCATTAATTTTTATATTATTAACAGCTCAATCAAGAGTCTCTATTTGATGCTAATGTGTCCTTAACACCTTTCCAATATTTGTTAATTGTTGAAAACAATGAGAGGGCTGGAATCTTCAGCAATCTCCAGGTGGACTTGAAGAGCATTCTGACAGATACTTTCCTGTGCTGATGATTCCCGCCCTCCCCTCCCACCCCCCACCCCATTGCTCCCTCTCTGTCTTGAGCCACTTCTTTGGCAATGGCTTCATCCTGCTGCCTATGACCACAGCTCCGCAGTTCATTGTCACAG